CCTGTCTTCTATCATTTTTTAACCCAGGGAATAAATTAACTTCCTCATGTACCACATACCATAGTTATAATTAATATTTGTTATTTACAGTGCACTAAGTTCCAAGAAGAGAATTCCTAGAGTTGGATGAATGATCCAACTAATCCAGGAGGCTAATCCAGGAAGACAGACACATACTTCTTAATGTAAAAGCATTTGTGAGAGCATAGTGTTAGAACACCAGGATGTATCTGTGGGTTTACACAGGCAGCCAATACTTTTAAACTATTTTTTCTCCGTTTAGTCTTTCAGTTTTATGTAGGATATTAATTAATAAAAATATATAAACAGTAATCTGGTTCTACCAATAGCCATTTTCAACAGAAGCTGTTGAGTTACTATCTGTAGTGTATTACTATGTTGATGTAAATGGCAGAGTTAAAAGTGATTAATGAATTTTGATTTCCCCGCCTATGGTTCCAAGCCTCTGTACCTCTTTCATCTGTAATTGATTCACTCTCTGCAACCCATTAGAGTAGTGCCATGTCCTCATATGTAGGTACAGCTGTATATTGGGAGAGAATTCTAACTCTGGCAAAGAAGTAAATATAATGAATAAAGGCTATGATTTTTCTCTGAAGCTGAGACCTTGTGAAGCAGCTTTTCTTATGTTGATTTCTTTGCTATTGGTAATCACTGACGTATTAACTGGAATGAGGCTCTACTAGAAAGGAGAGGAGATGCTTGCACTGTTTCTATCTGCAAACATGTAAGGTCCTTCTAAATGTCAGCGCGTGGCTGACCTTATTGTTCTGACTGTTGCTGTCCTACCTATCCAGATGATTGAGAGGAAGCAGTTCACCTGCTCAGTAAGTGTCTAGTCCCTTGGGTTATCTCATCAAGGAAATTGTTGCTTCCTTATTGTATTAGTCTCGCTCACAGGAAGGGAGTGCAGAGCTCTTCAAATCTTTCTGGTGTTCTTTGAGGTAATAACTGAATAAACATCTCCTTTGTCCTGGAGATGTGAGGATACATATTCCTCACACTTGCCATGTGTTACCTCTCATCCTTTCTGCATTACAGCGTCTAGTAAATTCTTCCACATTTTCATTTGAGATAGTAATTAATGTGCATCTTACTGGTAATGGTTATCAACAGTGAGTTCAACCAAGTAGGTGTCCAAAATACACTTCTACCTCTTCATCAGTCTTCTCCATGAGCTGTGATGACCTCTGTGCTAGAGGTCTACAGTGCAGAAACATGGATGTAGCAAATATGTATTTGAAAAAAAAAATCCTTTAAAAATGTGTAATTAACATGCTGTATCCTTCTGTATACATTTTTATTTGAGTACAAAGTAGACCAGATGTATTGTTTAGGAGAGGACTTCTGGTAAAGTCCTAGGCTGATGAAGTTTAAGGAATTGAGGAAGGACAAGTTCAAAGGTGGGGGTTGTAACCTTGATAATTTTAGTTACTTTAGAGATGCCTACATCCAACATTCAACTGAAGAAGATAGTCCAGTGTCTACCAGGTTTTTGAACAGAGTCTAGCGAATGGCTGAGCTTTTTTTAATGCTCATTTACAGAGGGAAACTTAGAGTGTCACAGAAAAGATTCCTAAAGTGGACAAAGCTCTTAACAATAATTATAGTCAAGGTGCATATTCTCTATAATTTATAGATAAGTACAAGTACTGTTTAATATCTTTTTCAACAATCTGGACGAGGGGATTGAGTGCCCCCTCAGTGAGTTTGCAAGTGACACCAAGCTGGGTGGGAGTGTTGATTTGCTTGACAGCAAGAAGGCTTTACAGTGGGATCTGGATAGGCTGGATCCATAGGCCTGAGGCCAGTTGTGAGATGTTCAACAAGGCTCAGTGCTGTGTCCTGCACTTGGGTCACAGCCACCTCACGCAATGCTCCAGGCTTGGGGAAGAGTGGCTGAAAAACTGACTGGTAGAAAAGGATCTGGGGCTGTTGGTCTACAGATGGCTGAATATGAGCAGCTTGTGCCCAGGTGGCCAAGGGCAATGGCATCCTGGTCTGTATCAGTAATAGTGTGGCAGCAGGACCATGGCAGTGATTGCTCCCCCGTGCTGGGCACTGGTGAGGCTGCACCTCGAATCCTGTGTTCAGCTCTGGGCTCTTCACTACAAGAGAGACATTGAGGTCCTGGAGCGGGGCCAGAGAAGGGCAATGGAGCTGGTGCAGGGCCTGGAGCACAAGTGTGATGGGGAAGGGCTGAGGGACCTGGGGGGGGTTCAGTCTGGAGAAGAGAAGACTCGGGGGGACCTGATCGCTCCCTACAAGTGCCTGACAGGAGGACGGAGCCAGGAGGTGCTGGGCTCTGCTCCCAAGGAACAAGGGATGGGACAAGAGGACACAGCCTCAAGCTGCACCAGGGCAGGTTTAGGTGGATATCAGGAACAGTTTCTTCCCCAGAGGGTGCTCAGGCATTGGAACAGGCTGCCCAGGGCAGGGCTGGAGTCACCGTCCCTGGAGGTATTTAAAAAGATGTGTAGATGTGGTGCTTGGGGATATGGTTTAGTGGTGGGCTTGGTGGTGCTGGGGCAATGGTTGGAGTTGATGAATCTTAAATGGCTTTTTCAACCTAAATGACTATAAATAAGATGCCAGGTACTTGTCCCTATCCTATAAAGACCTACTTACATCTAAGCTGTATTTCACGGTTTGGTATGTTTGCACTTAGGCCAACTTGAATTGCCCATAACAAGCTTGCTGAAGATTGTTGCCATTTCCAGCCTTGCTTCTAGGACTAAGGCATGATTAATTCTCTCTACATCAGTGTTTTTTGCACATTTGAGCTGGCATTAGCTGCTGATCTACACAGAACATGTATTAACTTCCCTGGAGCTCCAGCTGGGGTGTTGGAGCACTTTACAGAAGTGAAGGTTATGGTGGTGGCTCTTGCCTACAGCAGCCCTGTAGCGTGAGCAGGTCAAGCGCATGGCTCTGCCGTGCAAGGGGCTTTCAGATGTAGCACAGAGGAAAGTGGGGAGGTTCTCGTCACTATGAACGAGTGATCATTTGTATGAGTAAAGTGCAGTTGTCAGTTTTTGTTTGGTTTTATTCCTCCGGGGAAGGAAGAATGCCGCGCTGTAGTGATAGTCATTTATTTTAAACCACAGGAGACAATCTCACGCAGGGCTACAGCCTGGGCGCTCCACTGTTGGCAGCTGCACAGAACTGCCTGGAGGAAACGCCTGTTTGCTGCAGCGGGTAGGGGCAGTCCTTACACGCCGAGTAGCCCTAGATGAGAAAGTCACGTGCCGGGTGTGCACCGCCGTTATTTGAAGTGGGGTTTACATCGCGGTGTCAGCTCGAGCTCCTGCGGGCCGAGGGGCGGCGGGACCGGTCCCGGAGCGCAAGTCTGGGGGGGCGGGAGCGGGCCGCGGCTGCTGCCTTGGGCTGACGGGGGAAGGTGTCGGCGCTCGGGCCCGGCCTGCCGGCTCCCGCTCGCGCCTCGGCACGGGGCAGTGGTTCCCAAGCCATCGGGGGCCGTGCCGCGGCTGCCCTCTGCTCTCCCGCCAACAAGCCCTGAAGGCCGGCTGGCAGCAGGGCCCGAGCGGCTCCGCGGGCGGTACCGGCCGCAGCCGGGCGAACCCGCGCCGCGATCACGGCCCCGCAGCGCCCCGCGGCAGGACGTCACTTCCGGGACGGTGTCTGTCTGCGGAGGGGCGTTCCTTCGCCGCGGGCCGCTGAACGGTTCGGGAACGCGTTCGTGCACGGGCGCCTCCGGTGCGGGGCGAGCGCCCCGTGTCTGGGAGGCGGCCTGAGTGCGGCCTGGACGAGCGGCCGCCACGGGCCTGCAGTGCCGAACGTGCTGTAGATGCCTGCTGACTTTTCCTGCCGAGGCGCTGTTAGTGACAGCCCGGGTGTGCTGAGTTAGGAGGAGGCGAGTACGAGCTGGGCTCAGAAGGACCCTGCTCAGGGTTTGGTTTCCCTCATGCACTGCCTGATGGGCATGGTTGATTTAAAATTAAAACAAAACACAAGAACAGAGCAAAAAAGAGTGGCCTGTAGGTGTTCAAAGTTAACGTCTCCGTGCTGAGCCGCGATCTTGGAAAACGGTGATGTTCCGTAATTTACCACTTTTTTATGTTTCTCTTGTATCTCAATTTAAGTTCATCTCTATGAGGAGTCAGTGTCCGCTTGTTTAGTGCTGTGATGGTGATAGCTGTCATCACTTGGAGAAACAGTTACTTGCATTCTGCATCCAACAAACGCAGTGACAGCTTTAAAAGTCACTGAGAGCCTGTGGAGTCACGGAGCAGCATTTGAACAGAATGTACGGAGACACAGTGGCAGAAACTGGTAAAAATACCAGTTTAGCCTCGGTAGTTAAGATGCTGTTTTCTATATCCCAGTTGTTTTTTTTTTAATACATCGTAATTTATTCTCTGTGCTCTTGGTAACTCCAGGTTTGGGCTGCATGTTTGATGAAAAGCCATGGACTTAAAATAGGTCTGATCTTCTCTGGGTAAGAAGTGTTGTGTGCAGCAGTTCTGACCTCTAATGGTCAGGAAGAGCACTTTTTGCAAGGACTGTGGTATGCTGGAGTTTGTCGTTACTGAGAATTAAGTGGAAAAAGGGTGAACAACTTGGTCCACCTTTATTTTCTCCACTGAGTTTGTCTCTCCACCACAAGTCACAGGGAATATTGTTTTCAATGGCAGTTCCAAAGTAACATGGAGAAAAAGAATAACATTTTTTAAAAGGTCTTGTCTTTAAAGTCTTTGGAGCATTTAAATCATATTTGAATTCCTTTAAAAGCTTGTTTAAGGAGTTTGAGAAGAAAGGGGCAGAGAGACTGCAGAAGCTATAGTGAAGTTTAACTGCATTCCGTGCTGTTTCAGGAACTACTGTGTTTGTAATTATTTTGTCATTTGTTTTAACTGCACAGAAACACAGTTTGCTATCTGGAGGTGAGAAGGAGTCATTTTGGGGGTAAGAAGTCATCTTTTGTAGTGGGACTGAGGATGCTGTCTTTCTAATTTCAGGCAAAACGAGCAGTACAGCGAGGAGCCACAGCAGTCATCTTTGATGTTTCTGAAAACCCAGATGCCATTGATCAGGTATGAAGAAGAAAGCCTGGTTTTATTACAGCCTCTGCTGGGTTCTTTTAGGGTTGCTGAAGCACGACTTGAGAGCGCACAGGTTTCGGAGCAAAGCTGCCTAAAAATGTGCAGCTGCTGACCCTGGGTAGCTTTGGGGCTGTGGTTTTCCTGCTCATCTTCTGGCAGGCAAGAAGCAATGGAGGTATTGAGAATGTGTTAGAAAGAGAAAAATTTGGGGAGTTACGTTTTTTTTTTCTAGCCTCTGCTAGAGTCTAGAATCCAGGTCTGAGATTGAGGTTTTAAGATAGGATGGAGGCAGCTTTTTGTTTTGTGGACCATTATCTAGTCAAGGAGGTTTTCTTTGCCCAGCTGTGTGTACAAAATGCAGGGTGTTTGGCCCTACCCAGCCAGTGATTGATGCTATTGTTGAGCAGCTGCTATTTTTGAGGTTGCAAAATGATTTTCAAACCTGGTTCCAAACATGTTTCTTAAAAAATATAAACATTTCTTTCCTGTTCACAGCTGATGATTTCTGGCCTATGTATTTTGTGGACAGGCAGGGTTTTTTTTTTCTTTTTTTTCGGGGAGTCTCAGTACTATTTCCATCTCTTCATTTGAAGTGGATGAGGCCATACTCTGTGAAATGCTTTGACAAGATTCTCCCAGCCAATTCTGAGTTTTGAATAGAGAGAAGAAATATAACAAGCAGAAAAATAGTCTCCATTTGGTTTGGTTTGGTTTTGTCTTAGAACTGTTGTTTGTGCTACAGCAGAGACAAGTGAGAAGTGAGGCTGAATATATAAGTGTTGCTTGCACTTTTTTGGGGAAGAGAGAGGCAATGTATATTTTAAAAGGGCTGGCTTTAATTCTGAAATGAGCATCCTGGACAAGGGGATGCAGAGCCTGTGTGCAGTGGATGCTTTGAGAACTGTGCTCTGCATGTGCGTCAAGGCTACAGCCTTGATCTTCCAAACATTATCAGGGATAATTTTTCTGTGTATAAAAGGAGAAAAATTATCTGCACAAAGTTGTTATCTGTCTTTTTCAATTTTTCCTCTGTATTACAGCTTCCAGCTACTTCCAGCCACCCTGCTCTGACCTTGCAAAGCTGAGTTACTGCCTCTTGCTTTCTTCCCTCTACCAGCAACTGTTGTCCTTCCCTGATTCTTCATAATAAACTGGGTGCAACTGTCCCCAGTAGCTGGAAAACTAGTAGATGATTGAGTATTTTGGGTGTACCAATAGAATGGAAGGAGTTTACTGGCTTAGTGCAGTAGCTGACAAAGTAGGCTCCATTTGAGGACAGCAGTAGCCTGTGCAAATACAAACAGGAGAAGAGTGACTAGACCAGCTTTCATACTCCACACATAAGAGTTACTTGATTGGCTCTGTTCTCGTGCTGTTCTGGACACTTGTTTCATGCATTTTGACTCTCAGCCAAAGTCTTCGGAACCCTTGGCATCAGGGGTACTAATTAATTTTTCTTCAAAATAAATACCATCTTGGCCCTCACAGTGGAATTGTGGAGAACAATGGCAGATGGATAACAATAGAGGAAAACCCAACATTAGTTAATATGGAGTCTCTTTGGTTCAGATGAAGGTATCCTAAGACACTGAGGGGAACTGTTAAGGAAGCTTTCCCAGGTATGGTTGTTACCAAGCAATAGAACTGAGGGAGAGTGCTTTGAAAGGGAGGAGTGCAGTATTATGAAAAGCAGTCCCACCTGCCTGTCAGTGAACAGCAATAGGAAGGAGGCCTGACTAGGAGAATTGTCCTTGGACAATTTGTTAGTAGAATTGCTATGAAATGGAAGGTCTTTAAGTACAGATTCTGTGGGCTTTATTCTCATTGATCTCAGTGTCTTCTGCTGTAGATTAAGAATGAAGCTTTTATTTTTAGAAATGCTCTGTGAAGTCTGATTTGTTTCTTAGTTTTGCATAGTTTGAAGAAGAGCAACAGCATACAGAGCATCATGTTTGGCAAGAGTCTGGCAGCAGCAAAAGCTACTGAGGAATCAGGTGAATTGTTTCTTAGACAAGAAAGCTTGAGAGAGTATGTGTGTTTGGGAACATATAGACAGTGGTTGGATTTTACCATAGGCCAGTAAGCTTTCTAGACACATAGGATCCATGAGTTAGATTCAAGTTACTTGTTAGTTTTTAGTTCTTCGTAAGACATCTGTCTTAAAAATAGTTTGATCAGTGTTCTCAGAAGCCCAGTCACATACTAGGAAGAATCTGTTTTAAAGTCTCAAAGAAGTCTGTCACCAACATCTGTACAGATTAAGTAGAGTACTTTGTAAACAGCATGATGTAAACAGTCAGTTGGTAATTTCTACATATTTTAGCCAGAAATAGCAGGTAGATATGGTATCTCTGCCATGCGCTGCTCTTCTTCAATTTACTCACACTCCTGTCATTTCTTCTTTCCTTTGTATCATTTCCATTCACTTGTCAGTACCTTGCTTGTTTCTTATCAGCCCGCCACTATACTAGGATTTTTCTTGTGGGTCAGAATAAGCTATATGAATTTATCATGTTGGTGATGCTCTGTAACTGAACAGTTCTCTTGTTGTGTTATTTTCCTCTCTGATGTATCGTTCAGCAGATAGGGTGGGTTTTTTTATTTGTTGGCCAGAGAATTATGCAGTCTCCACATGTGAAGGTTTTCAATGTCTGATTAATTAAAGCCCTGAGCAGCCTGGTCTCCTGTCATAGTTTACCCAGCCTTGACCAGGAGTTTGGGGACTCTTGAGGTACCTTCCATCTGCATTGTTTTCTGATTCTTTGATTTGGCCTTTCAAAAAACTTAGCTGTACATGGAAGGACGTTCAAGGCTGAATTAAGCTCTCTACTCATGCTTTGGTCTTTGAGGCTCCTATTCTGTAATAAATGGCTCTACTGGTTGCTAGAGCCCAAAATACTGTTTGAATGAGTTTGCTGAGTTAAGTAGCAGAAATTATTGATCTTAAGAAATTGGCTAGGCACAAAGAGCCTGGAAGGCGAGACTCTGATATGAGATAGTTCAGAAAGCCAAAGAAGTTTGTACATGAATAATGTAACTGCAAAGTTGAAGTGACAAAGATTTAGAAAATGTAGCAAGGCCAATTTCTTCTTCTTTTTTTTTTTTTATTTTTTTATTTTGAATGTGCACATTTTTTGTTCTTGATTCTGAGGTTTAACTTACTGAAATATTAATACATGTGCCAGTATACAGTGCAGTTAAGTTAAAGCTGCTGTTCAGAAATAATGTTTGCTTATCCTTAATCTGAGTTTTGGTCAGTAAAAATAAAGCAGCTTAAGTCAAAAGTTTCATTCAGGCTTATGTCTGTGGAATACTTAAGTGAAGGTCTATGCTAGAGAAGAACAGCTGGTGCTTGAACCAATTCCACATTCATATTCCTTTAGTTTTCTCTCCATTGTCCAAAGAAAGGTTGTTTTCCTGAAATGAGCCTCTTGAGTAGATGATTTTTTTTGTTGTAGCTGAACCAGGGCTCAGAGGACCCTCTGAAGAGACCAGTGGTGTATGTGAAGGGAGCTGATGCTGTCAAGCTGATGAACATCGTTAACAAGCAGAAAGTGGCACGAGCAAGGATTCAGCATCGCCCCCCACGGGTGAGACTTTCAGAAACTTTATCTAGGTGTTACCCTGCTGTTACTTCATGCAGTGCTTGTTAACAGCACTGAGTGCAATGACGTTTTGATGCTCCTCATGAGCATCATACGTAGGAAATTCTGTTGACGTGAATAAGTTGAGCAGCTGCACTATGGACAAGCAGCTACACTTCATGTAAGTATAGAATCTACAATATGGCTTCTGCTGTCTTTCATGAGGATTCTTCTGAATATATAAATAGCCAAAAATTTTATATAATAGAAGTTTTCCTTTTTCCTATTTAACTCAATTGTTGCACACTCCTGGTAGTTCAGACTTGTAAGGTAGCGTACCCTGTGTTAGTAATTCTGTGTGGTATTTTTAAACATAGATTAATTTATACCTGATACTTGCAATTGTAATACAAAATGGTTTTTCTGGACTTTCTTTCAGACATGTGGTTTACAGAAGAACAAAAAAGCTAGAGGTCATCCGTGTCCCAGTTGTCCTTTTGCTTTTGCAGTATTTTTATGGCATTCTTCTGTTAAGAAATGTATTTATGAAGTGGGCCATTCAATGAAAATTCTAATGTTTATTTTTCCCTCACTTAAGTACAGAAGCAAACCAGTAAATTGTGAAGACTTGTGAGGGTGTGATTCACTCAGTTAAAACTGGGCTTTGTGGGATTGGTTCAGAGACACTGTAAAGCTGCTGTCTAGTGACTGGCATACTGTGCAGTGACTTGAGACCCAGGTTTTGACTCCTAGAACCCCAGTTAATGAACAGAACAGTGTGTACTTTTGCCATTGTGACTGTGTACATTGGACAACGACCACTGGGAAAGTAGAGAAGGGAACAACAGGTAGGAAATTGAGCGAAAGAAAGGAAAAATATTATTTTTGTTTTATTTTTTAAGCAACCAACCGAGTACTTTGACATGGGAATTTTCCTGGCCTTCTTTGTGGTTGTGTCTCTTGTTTGCCTTATTCTTCTTGTCAAGATCAAACTAAAACAGCGACGTAGTCAGGTAAGAGCAGTAATGGGTTACTCACTGAATGCTGAAAGTTAGCTTTTCTTACCTTGTCCTAGAACTTGCTCGCTTCTTTTGGAAGTGCTGGCCACTTACTTGAAATAACTGTCTTTGTGAAAGGGCTTTTGTGCATGGATGTAGGCCTTTGGAAGAATTAAGAAATGCCTTTAAAGGAGATCTGCATTGACCTGTGATGTTCATTCAGTTAAATCCTGAAATGACAAGTACAGAAGCAGTCCATTTAATCATTGAGAAGGAATAAGATTTTTGGTTGTTCAGAGGTTGATTTAGTAGCCCTGGTGTACTTCTAGTTGAAGTCCAAGCTCTTGTTGCTATATTGTGGAGAGGATTTCAGAATTTAAAATAAATTGCAGCTCTTTTTAATAGAATAACATGTATTGATTCTTAATGGGAGAGGTTTGCAAGGTGAAAAGTTTAGTTAGGAGAAATTCTGGGTGAAATACTTTGAGGTTTGTCCTGTCAAACATGAAAAGGAAAGCAAATGGAAGCTAACAAACTCTGAGGTTTGTACTGGTAAAACTATCCAGTATATACATGTAGAAGGAGTGCAAAGTAGTGTAGATGCTTAGGACTCTCGCTTTGGACATACTGAGTGGGAATCAAAAAGATGTTGTGGGCCAACAGCAGTGTTAAAAAGCAGTGTTAAAAAGGGGGATGATAAATACTCCAGTAAAAGGAAAACAGCCCACTGCCTTCCTAAACTTCTATTGATTAAATTTAGGGGGAGGGGAAATTTAATTTAGTAACATTTCAATTTAATCCCTCTCTCGTGTACTGCTTCATCTAGTATGGTGGTTCCCAGCATAATGGGTATTACCATCAATATTGACAGTTATTGGTATTACCATCAATATTGACAATATTGGCTAGAACTCATATGTTGCCTTAAGTAGTTGCTGCTTATTAGTGAAGCAGTTGCAGTGTATCCCAGATGTCAGCTCTTTCACCCTGTTTCAATTCAGAGTAACGTACCATTCTCACTACTGCATGTGGCATACTTTTTTTCTTCTTTTTTTTAAGAGGCTTCTGATATAAATTCTAATTAGCCTTCCCTCTGCTTAATTTATGAAATTAAACATTAGTCTGGACTGTGTATGATTTGGTAAGAAACATTAATATGATATGGTGGTGTTTCTGTGCTACTACACTATAGTCCCTTATGCAGCACCATTGCCTATTTGTTGGGATTTTTTGGGGTGTTTGTTTTATTGTTTTGGTTTAGTTTTTTTCCTTTTTTCGTATTTCTTCCTTTCTTCTGTTGTAGAATTCCATGAACAGGCTTGCAGTGCAAGCACTGGAAAAAATGGAAACCCGGAAGTTTAAGTCCAAAAGTAAGGGACATCGGGAAGGTAGCTGTGGAGCACTGGACACACTCAGCAGCAGCTCCACCTCTGACTGTGCAATCTGCTTGGAGAAGTACATTGATGGGGAGGTAAAGGATAAGTGGTTTCTTCAACATGGGCTGAAACGAATCTGGTTTAATTTAGCACTGTGGTACGCAGCTGGCTGTTGGGTACATTCTGTGCTCTGGCTGTACCACTTGCCAGACTGATTACATTGAGTAGCCAGCTCAGCCTGCATTCTTGTAGCTCTCAAAGGAATCTCAAGGGCTTTTCTCCGTACTACAAGGCAAGAGGTGAGGGATTTAATTTGCAAGTTGCTGCCTCCATTAAGTTGCTTTTCTGGGTCCAGATTACCTCAGCATTTAGTTCTCTTCAGTACTTTTAACAAATGGTGTGCTAAGGTCATGGTGTGTGCCAGCTCCATTGGCATAAGGGATACATTTCATGTTTTGCTGCTTAAGCTCTGATGTAGCACCTTGTCTTTAAAATGTCAGGTATATAGCACTGCTGGGAAAAGAGAGGCGAGAGAAGGAAGAGACAGCAGAAGGCTCAGGAACCATCTTTTGACTCCTCAGTTTCCATCACTGCATTGATGTCAGTGCTTGCCTTCTGTGACACAGTTTTACCCAGAGGAAGCAATGAAAGGATGAAATAAGAAAGAGGCTCCATAGAATAGAAGCAGTCTATAATCACTGCTTTAAACTTCCATATAAACAATTGATGACACTTTATTTTGAAATGATTCATAAAAGATTAATCATTTATAAGGCAATAGAAAATACCAGCTGGAGTACTGGAGTGTTACAAGCTGCAGACAGATAATAAAGTTAGGTGATGGGAAATTATTCAGAGTAGCAAGGATGAAGGCAGACAAGAAGTTCAGAAGCACTGTACAAAACTGACTGGATAAGAAATTCATGCATGAACTTTAGAAGGAAGTGATATGCATAGGGAAGAGCTTCACATGTATTAATGATGGATTGTGAGGTGAGCATTACTGTTCAGGAACAAGATCTTGCAGCTGGTTTAGATAGCTTTCTGAAAGCAATCAGTGCATCGTGGAAGTCAAAAAGGCAAACTGGACATTAGAAATGAGACAGGGCAATCTAGAGAACTGAACAGGAAACCTAATTACACCACCATGTAAGTTCAGTCATCCTCTTATACTGAGTGGTGTGTGCACTTCTGATCTCATTTCACAAAAGATATACTGGAAATGAAGGTGCTTCAGAAACAGGCAGTCAAGAAGTGATCCAAGATTTGGAATGGTTTCTGTGCCAAAAAAAAAAAAAAAAGGCTTGAGTGGACTAGGACTGTTTAGTTCTACATTGACTGTGGCAGAGGGAATACAAATTGTGAATGGAGGGCATGAACAGGAATCAGACATTCATTTTTTTCCCCAGTGCAATTAAATGAAACTGCTGGGATGCAAAGTGAATCAAAATGTGCTGTTTCTCTGTCAGTGGGTAGTAGCCCTGTGGAACTTCTTGCCAAAGCATGTTACAAATTCAAAACCACAGCTCATGGGGACATTTAAGATGCACTTGAAAGAAAGATCTGTTTCGGGTTTCTGAACTGTTACACATCCAGCAGGCTCAGGGAAATCCTGTGAACAGATAATAGCTGGAGGATGAGAGTGCTGCGCAGGGAAAGAGTATCAGATACGCTGTGTTGTTTCTGCTTTTCCCTGAGTGTTTTCCATTGTTAATAGTTGTAGGTAAGATGCATTATTAAATGGACTCTATTGATAATTGAAGTTCATTTAATATTTTAAGGAAAACTTTAATGATGGGCTCCTTCAAAGTGTTAGGTCATAGGGACACACAGCAAAAAGTTCCTAAAGAAATGTGGTTTATCTGCATGGAATTCTAATGAAGAATAGACTGTTCTTTTAGTGAGAGCTGATCACTAGCTGCTGTGCTTTTGGCTGTGTTGAACAGATAGCGTTTTTTTCCTTATCACTCAAAGATGAGGAAATTATCAGTTTAGTAACTGAAAAAAAGTAGGAGTAAGTTGTGAAAAATTCACTCATTAGGAAGGAATACTTTTTCATTTTCCTTCGTCTTTTCCTGTAGGAACTGCGTGTTATTCCCTGCACTCACCGATTTCACAAGAAATGTGTGGATCCTTGGCTACTGCAGCATCACACCTGCCCTCACTGCCGCCATAACATCATAGGTAAGTGCTGCAGTAAAGATGCTCTCATCCACTCTGGGCTTAACAGTCTACATGATGAAACAGAAATTGTGCCTGAGCTCATAGTCTTTATTGTTGAACAACCCTAGAAATACAGTTAAGGTTAAATTCTTTCAAAATTACTGTGTGTCCTGGAGTAACAGGTCACATTTCTGGGGCTATGGGTTTGATGCCTTGCAGAGGGCAGTGTTGGTCAGCTGCTGAATGCAAAGAGAAACGGATAGATTAGATGGCTATGTTTTCTCTTTGTATTATAAAGACAAGACAACATACTGTTTTTTTATTTCCCAGTGGTGGTGTAGCTTGGAAGGTAGTTTCCCTTACTTGCTCTCCCTTCCATTTCCTCTGTCTTGAAAAAGTTTTCTATTAATACACATTTATGTAAAATAAAGAGTAAAGCGAAAACTTGAGGAGTAGCTGCCAGCCTGGCTCTTAACCTGCAAGATCAGGAATATTGTGTAAGCAGAAGCTTTTGCATATGGAAACAGTATCTGTAATCACTTAACTTCTTTTCCATTTTATGAAAATCCAATTGAGTGTTTCAAAGGCTTCCAGGCAGATGCTCTTGACTGAGTTTATTTTGTTATTTTTCCTTCTGTGTAAAAAGTTGTTACTTTTTTTTTTTTTAAACTCTGTTGTGTAGTATAATGGAACAAAATATCCTTCTTTCTTGCACAAAGTGTATTCCTTTTTATTCCCTCCTACTTCTCCACTCTGATTTCTCTCATTCAGAACAGAAGAAGGGAAATGCAGGTCCAGTCTGTTTGGAATCCATCAACCCAGCACGCAGCCGGCAGCAGAGGGTGATTCTGCCTGTCCATTACCCAGGCCGAGTGCACAGAGCAAACCAGGTAACAGCATATCCTACTCGGACAAGCATGGACCCTCATGGAAACCCCATCACGGTGCTTACAGTTGAGCGACATGGTGATCAGAGCCTCTACCAAGCCCCGTCCCCAGCCTATATCCGAAGTTACCAGCCTATTCATTTGGACCATGGACCAAACATGCATCACTGTAGCCTGGAACATAGGGCTTACTCTCCAGCACACAACTTCCGAAGATCCAAGTTTGGGCGCAACTTTTCCAAAGCAGCATGCGTTTCCCAATATGAGACCATGTATCAGCACTACTACTTCCAAGGCCTTAGTTACCCTGAGCAAGATGGACAGCTTCCAGCTGGCATTTCCTCAAAGGGTCCTTCCCGTGCCTTTCAGCCTGGTAGCAGCATGCTTTTCCCTCCTGTGGTACATGTAGTGCCCTCATCCCGCTTGGAGAGTGGCAGTACCTCCAGCTTTAGCTGCTATCATGGGCATCGTTCAGTCTGCAGTGGATATCTGGCTGATTGCCCTGGGAGTGACAGCAGCAGCAGCAGTTCTGGTCACTGTCACTGCTCCTCTAGTGATTCCATGGTTGACTGCACAGAGGTCAGCAACCAGGGGGTTTATGGGAGCTGCTCCACCTTCCGCAGCTCTTTGAGCAGTGACTATGACCCATACGTTTACCGCAGTAAGAGCCCTTGCCGAGTAGGTGAGGTTGGTGGTGCAAACAGGGGTGCAATTGTTCTCTTGGAGGGCCCCCACCAGGATGAGCTCCCAGCTCATGGTCACAGTCTGGTGGGTGCTGACTGCCGGCCTGTGCCAGCTTCTTCCTCAGGGGACCAACTGTCTAATTGCAGCATGGATACGAACTATAGCAGTAATTCCTCGCTCGAGCACAGGGATGCAAATGGCACTACCTCAGAGAGAGGACATGAGGCCACTCCTGGTACTGCCTTGGATGTTAAAAGGAACTGGAAGAATCCAGAGATAGCAGGGCCACTTATGGAGCAAGCATGTGCATACTGCTTTGAATTCCAGCACTCTGCCCTGGAGCCTAGCAATGGGACAGCTGACTGTAATGCACTCTTCCTTAGCTCTCAACTGTGGGGGACGTGTGGCCCAGGAATAGAACCACAGTCAGGGAACATCCCGGGCTTGTACAGTATTAACTCAGACCACTTGCGTAGGACAGATGGAGTAAAATATGAGGGGTTGCCCTGCTGCTTCTATGAAGAGAAGCAGGTAGCCTATAGTAGCAACAGTGGCAGCGGAGGTGGTGGCTGCTATACAGAAGACTATGCAGTGAATGTGCAGTACACGCTTCCTGATGACACCTTGCCAAGCTGCTGTAAGAGTGTCTGTGATCTGGGTCAACGCATTCCCATAATTCCTGAAGACAGAGACTGTGAGCTGATCCTTCCTGCAGAGTGCCAAGGGACCCACACAGGAGGCTGTAGTTCCTGGGATGGAACACCTGAGCTAGATACTTACCTGCACTGCCAAGGTATAGGAGAGGTACAGGACGAGAGGGAGGTCTGCTATGAGACAACATCATTTCTGCAGCAGAACTACTCTCGGGAGGAAGAAGCTGGAATGCTCTTTCCCAGTCCCACTTTGAACTCCCAGAAGCTGATGATGACCACAAAGGCCACAGGTAACACATGTGCTTTTTTTGATTGCTTGCAACCTTTCTGTCCTAGTATATGGAGTGCTGCCAGCTTCCTGGGTACCTGCATCCATAAAAGTTACTGCCATCCTTTGCATGATAGTAGGTTATTGAGTAGTTCTTCAGCCAAAAGTGGGTTCTCTTGTTACCTGTATCCATTTGGTCAGAAATAGAACATGACAGTCTACTATCTAACCCTGTAAGAGTGTTCATACACATCCTTTGTGGGGAGGAGAAAACATGACTGCTAGTACAAGTCCCTCATTAGAGCCCCCACAGCCAGGGACTCACTTCCATATGGTGAGCTGCATAAGCGGGCAAACCCACAGTGCTGGGAGGTGACAGTCAGGCTGTCCCTGTCTTAAAAAAAAATGAAAAGACTGAAAACCTTGTAATTGCTGTAGAATATGTGGGAAAGTCTCTGCTGTGGACATACACAAGGGGGAAAAAAGAAGTTCCTGCAGAATGTAGAGGGTATTCCTTACCTGCCTTGCCAGGGCTGTTTTGAAGGGTATTCATAGGAATCTTCCAGGTTGGAAGGGACCTCAGGCTGTAATCTCCTCCAGCCTCCTTGCACAAGGTAGGGCCAGCTCTGAGATCAGACCAAGTTATTCAGTTTGTGAGGCTAGACCAAGTTTATCGCGTCAGGCCATGAGAACCTCCAGGGATGCAGAATACACTCCCTCTTTGGGCCCTTGTTCCCATGCTTGACTGCCAGCATGGTGAAATGATTTTCCTTGTATCCAGTCTGAACATCTCATGTTTCAACTTAAGCTCATTACTTCTTGTCCAAAACGCATCACTGTGAAGAGCCTGGCTCCACTGTTGTGACAACCTCCGTGCCGGCATTGCAAAGCTGCTAGGGAGTGCCCGGAGCCTCTTCTGCAGGCCGAACAAACCCCAGTACCTCAGCCTCTTCCCACAGGGCAAGTGCTCCGGCCCTCTGAGCATGTTGGCTCTCTGCTGAATTTGCGTCAGACAATCAGTGCCTTGTTGTGGGACCCCCAAAACTGGATGCAGTATTCTAGATGCAGTGTTCCTGAGTTTTCTTTATCCTTCAGGTGCTGGATCTCATCCCTTGGAGAGAAGCCAAATCGGTGACTAGACCTGTCCAGATGATCCCAGATGGAGAAGTGGAGCTTATCAGAGACTTCAAATTCTCATGAAGCTGATTTTTTTAAGCTTTGACAAACAGACAAAAGTGGTAATGTGGAGAAGTCCCCCCCCACTTCCTCTTCCTCTGTGTCCACATTGGCTTGGTTGTCTCCTTTGTCCCTCTTGCCTGAAGCTTTCAGGCCTCCATTTGTGAGCAAAGCCCATGAGGGACATGGTATGGAGTATTTCTGAGCTCTAGTGCCATTTCTATATTAATAACAAAGTGTTATTTATATTTTCTTTTTAGAAGTGACCGTGTCAGCTCTTGCTGAGAGGTAACACGGTGTGTTGAATAAGCCAGGCTATATGTAGATGCTGTTACCTCCTACATAAAGGAGTCCAGCCTTTGATAAGCTCAGGGCTACATCTGCCTTAGAAACCAGATAGCACCTTGAAATATAGTAGTCCAGAAGGATACAGCTTCTGTATGGATGCTCAGATACTGACTAATCCTAGTGGCAAATCTTAGTAGCCAGCAAGTTACATGAGCAATTTTAAGGAAGCTGAAGCATTGGACTGTCTCCTTTCTCCTCTTCCCTTCTCCCCTTTTCATGCTGCTCTGATGATTTAACTAGGAAGGGTCTCCTGCCATTATGATTAATTTTAACAGAGTGGGGGTAGGGAAACAGATAGCTCTGAATGTTTTCCTCCTCACTTCCTGCTAAACGATGGACCTCATTTATCTTCTGACTGGTGAAGAATGATGGGGACCCCTCCCTCATACAGATTCTACAAGGGAGTGTTTAGAAAGGGTAATACCTTTGTAGGTAATGAACCTTGCCTTCCATAGGAAGTTCTCCAGGCACCTGTAGCTCATGTTACGGCTGTGAGGAATGGTGGCATATGCAGGAAAACAAGAGCTTGCAGCTTGGCTGCCTCATTTTGGAAACAGGTCAGGTGTCTTGTTTTCTTAAAAGACTGCAAGCATGCCTAAGGGAAGGAGTGCTTGTTACCTTTTGTGTGTGTGTAAAACTGAGGGACTTGGTTTAATCAATGTTTTCTTTGCTGTGGTTGATGTAGCTTCCATAGATTGATCTGTTTTAAAGGTTTCTTGGGCCCAGCTAGTTGTGCTTAATTTTTTTGTTTTGTGTACAGAGTGCTCTCTGTACTGCATTAGCCTGGGCACATACTTTCGTTCTTGTTCTTGTACTAGTGGGGATGTTTGTTATCATGAGATAATACATATCGTCACTTCTGATAGCAGTCGTTTCCTGTGGAAACAGCAGCTTCTGACTAAGAGGCTATCATAGCATGGTTTAAGTTGCCTGTCATGCTGCATGTGCCTGAGGACACAGTGTCATCCTGTCTGGTGTATTCACAGCAGGAATTCTCCTAAAGGGAAACTAATTATTTAATGCCCACAGTGCTAGTCTTCTGCAAAGATCTGTCTAAAGTTCAGTTTGCTTTGGATATACTTAAAAGACGTGAAAAAAAAGATGTACCCTTCATGTTACATCTTTTTGCCAAAGTAATGTCCTTGACAGCACTGGGCTAATCGTAAGAACCAGCAAAGTTAACTTGTTTGCTTTGTAGTCCCAAATGAAATCTTTCAAAAGAAGTAAACATCTAAGAAACAACAAATAGATTAATCTGTTTACTTACTTTCTGTACTGAATAAGTTAGGAAAAAAATAATTCTATTTAAAGGCATTCACATTAAGTCTTTTTAAATGAACAAACACCAAAATCTAGCTGTTCAGAAAACTAATAGAAGGCAATAGCTGGGTATAAGGCTAAGAGAAAAATTCCAGTAAACACAGTTTCTGTGTATAAAGCTTATGGAAAAATGATTCATTCTCTGAATGACTGAAGTGGTATGTGTTGGGAGAATAAACTTGAAAGGTTTGAAGGTTTTGTTTGGTTGTTTTTCAAGTCTTACTTTTCTCCTTCCTCCACTCAAAAGGAATGCATTGTAGAAGCTATGGTGTATTACCTTGGTTATTCTGCTTCCTGTTTTGTGAGGCACAGCCAAAGGCCACCGAAGATGCACCGTACTGTGTAACTACACAGCATGTTGTGTTAAAATGTGGTTATAAAAAGAAATTTGAATATTCGGGCTCATGGTGGTTTTGGATGTACTGGTCTCATTCACTTGCTGTAGAAATCTGCCAGTACAATGGTCTTGGCAGGCATTAGCGCAGAGGTACCCTATGCCTGGATACTGTGGTTAGTTTTATAGTCAACATTTAGTTAATTCCCTGCTACCTGTATGTCTGTACAGATGGTTTTGTAACAAAATGCCTTTCTACTACTTACGTGAACAGTTTTCATTGTGTTTGGCTCATGAGGCACTATTTAAAATGTTTTTAATTAAAGTTATAGCACTTAAAATTTTTGTATAAAATTTGCTGTAAAGATTTGTAATATGGTCAAAGGGCTCTTTCTCCTTCATTACCATTTTAAAAATGTTTTAAAAGCTAGGAAACATCTTGTATATATTCTGTGTATGTATAGCAGCACATTTCATTTATGGAAATATGTTCTCAGAATATTTATTTACTAATATATTTATCTTAAGCCATGTCTTATGTTGAGAGTGTGTGACAATATTGTAATAATCATTGAAAAATCACTAACATGAGGCTCTGTAAATACATGATAATTGCACACAAAGATTTTACAGTACTTGCTGACCAAAAATGATACAAGAAACATTGTAGTTACGTGAGTTTTGTAAGAAAGTGTACAAATGTCTGTATAAAAAGAAAAAAAAAAAAGGCAAAACTACACAAAAATACAGTTTTATTGCATATACATGTGGAAGTTGTACTTCTTGTTTTGAGGGAAAGGACATGGATAGCTGTGCTCTCCAAAGTGAAGTCCTACGTATACTGATACGAACTCTAATATAAACAGCTTTTTAAGTAATAGGTAAGTGAATCTGTATTTCCATGCACACAGATCCTAACATGATCACAATAAAAGATTCAGAAGTGGCTTTTTTCTGGAGGCAACCCGTAATGATCTGTCTCAGCACCATTCAGTTTTGGCAAATGCCACAGTTGAGTATCAACCAGAAGTGAGCGTTTTTGTTGCTAGGTATTGGTGCAGTGTCAGTCTAGTCCTTGACAGTTTCATCTGCCTTCCTAACACTGTCCCCAGGTAGTCTCACAAACACAGTGTTTGTGTTACATGAGGGCTGCCTGTTGCTTCAGCCCAGAGGGCTGATGTTGCTATTGAAGAGGGGGGAAGTTAGAGATACTCATTACAGGGAAACATCGATTATAGGAAGGAAGGCAAAGACAGCGTAGGGCACAGAAGGACAAGTTAGGAAAGCCGTGCACCAGAGTATGCTGTGGAAGAGCTCATGTTCTTGACTAACAGGACAGCACTTGGGCCATTATACAACGAGCTCCTTGGGAGCAAGCCCCGGAAGCCTCCAGGCACATGAGTGACATCTGCTGGAAAGCATCCTCCTTTGTGTTTGGAACTTGCCTGCTGCTTGTAGCAGGGATACTTAGTTCTGGTTTCAGGTAAAAATAATCCAACAGAATAATACTGTTTCCAGTCCTGAGCCAGCATTGTGGAGGTGGGTACAACTGGGTAAATCACGGCTTGAAGAATCAAACTAAATCCAAGTCCTTACCCTGGTCCTGCCGAAATGAAAATCAGTGCTGTGCTACTCTCGTTATGCCGACAGAGGGCATAATTTGACCAAATATATTTGCGCAGACAGCAAAAAAGAGGGGCTTGGATGTGTGTGGCTACCAACCTGCATGTGTGTGTACATGTACGTATTTATGTAATGTGTGTATTTATGTAATGGGTGTTCATATGTTATTGTATAAACAGTTTTCCTCCATACAATTATTTCCCATGCAGTGATACATAAGAGAAAATCTTGTTTTCTCTTCCAGTTTCTCAAGATTTTTACCTGGTAATTCCTTTGACGTTCCCCTTCTTTCATCCATGTTCAAGTGCACTCAGAATTCAGCCAAGAAATGAGCCTTACTTCTCTCCAATCCTCTCCTTCATTTGTGAGAACTCCCATGTTTGGGATGACAGCCTGTTGAACTGAAGAGTATCATGTTGCATGGGACACTTTCTAGCATGAGCATCAATTATTCTCATCTTGGATAATATGGGAATGGGAAAGCCTGGTGGTCTGTATGAGAAGACAGGCACAATAATGGAAGAGCAACAGGCAGGAGGGAGTTAAGCAGCACCAGCAAGTGCTTCCTAATCAAAATACATGCCCTTTTTTTGCTTAATGAACAGAATGTTGGCAATTGCCAATAATTACAGATACGCATTTTATTTGCAAATTAGTTCATTAAACAGTTGTTCTTAAAAATCACATAAAACCTGCTATATGTGTTTGGCTGATAGGCTTGTGTTGACAGGTGACATCTGGGCCTCGTTCCTCTTCCTTCCCTGCACCCTTCCCAGTTTGCCATTGCTGACTAGTGTTTTGTTTTGTCAGTTCTTGTTCTGAAGAAAATCTTGAGGCTATAGTGCTTTTAACAACAGGATTTACCTCTATTGTACTGTCCCACACAATCATTGGTAAGCCCATACTTGGTCTCTTTGAGAAAGACAGCTATGGGCTGTTGGCTGAACTTGAATGTGGTGCTTAGTTTTGTTTGTGTGTGTTTGTGGTATCCTGTCTCTTATTTGTTGTGGGTTTTTTTTAAATGACTAAATGTAAACATACTTCTATCAAAAAATCAGTATTTTCATATTTGGCAGGGGGGTTCTTTTGAGTTCAATATTTAAGGAACAAATTCATGTACCATCTCCATATGGTAAAACATGAAGCAGCAGGAGCAAGCTATTGTTAATGAGATTGTACATTATGGTAACACTTGGTGGTTTCGTAACACTATCTCATTTTTGCTGTAGCAATATTGGGTCCATCTGTCCAATGCTGTGACAGCTGTCGGGTAACACTGTTACTTGAGTTCTATAAGAGAAGTGTCCTTAAAAGGATGACAGCTGCCTTCATACTGTGTGGAGCCTGTCCTAAGTGTTTGGCCAAGGAGAAAACAGCAAACCTGAAACCAGGTATTTCACCTTAACAGCAGAGGTGCCATGCTCCTGTGACTTGGAACAGATCACACAAAAGTGTCTCTTTCAAAACAAAGAATATATCTCCCTCATGGGGAATGAAACTGTTGCTTAGGAAACAACAGAGAAGGCAGCAGTCCCCAGAATAAGCAGCAGTGTAAGACGAGTCTCATAATCTGAATGGCAAGAAAGGAGTGCAGAATAACCTTCCCTGTAACAGTGGCGTTTCTACCAGAAAATGAGAGCTTGAGCCCTGACATGAGAAGCTGGAGACAGTTTTGATATCTGATGCTGGTGTTCAGATGTTTACATAAAATATAGCTGAAGATTTCTTCAACGAAGTGTAGCATTATTTTGGTCAGAAGGAGGAATTCATAAAAGAAAAATGTATCTTGCAAGAAACTCGAAAGACCATTACATGCTGCTGCAATCTGTAGAGAAAACACTGGAAGAATTAATATTCTAATAGTTTGGAAACATGTAAATTGAAAACTTCAATTTGACGCTACCTCAGAAATTGCTTCTCAGAACGGTGCTGTTATTTTCTGTATGGAACCATTTTCAGCAATTACTCCCTTCCACACTCTGCAGCAGACAATGCTGCTGTAATGTGCTGGTGAACTGCAGCAGTTTCTGCCTGTATTCGCTGCCGGCTGTGCTTCAGCAGCACAAGCTGAACCCTCCTGCAGAAATTCACTGGTTTTGTGTTTTGTTTTTTTTTTTAATTATATCATGACTGCTTACAGCCGTTTGCTGGACACAGGATGAGCATGTATAAATACAGAGTTCAGCAGTAAGCTGCTGCAAGTTGTATTCATTCTGTTTTCCTGTCAGTCTCATCTGGTTCATGTGACAACCTTTGGACTTACAGTAAATTGTCTTGAGACTGAAATTCAGAATGTCAAATTGTATCCCAAAGCACAGGTCCTCAGTGAAGTGGATAAAGTACCAGTTGTGTGAAATGTGTGTGTTGGAATGTGACAAATAAAATGGTATGGTCAGAAGACAAGTTATATTTTTCACTCTCACAATCTCCCACTAGCAGATTGATAAGGTTATTCATAAACATCTAGAATAATATTCAGTTGAAACTATCACTGGACTATATTTCATTGCAAGATTGTGAAATATCATTGGCATTAAGAACTAGTTGGACAAGTTTTTGTCAGGAGTTGTTTTTGTAGTTCACCCTTCCTTTAGGCAAAGTGGTGCACTAGAAAATTCTGCCAGCAGTCTTCCCGCTGCCTGAGAAGGCTTATTAAGCAGAAGATGAAACTGGAAAAGCTAGTCACACTCATGCTGTGGCAGCCAATTGTCTGCTGATGTGTTTGGCCTGTAGTGATATAGGCTGCAGATTCAGGACTGTTTCCAGAGCTATCAGTAAAAATATCCCATTTATACTACTGCCAAGGGAGCTTAGAATACAGTGACTATAATTCTGTGGTATCACTGGGTTGTCTGCATGAACAATCTGATAAACCTCCTCAACATTGCACTGGCTGTAGAAAGTCTGGCAGAAACAGGCCCTAAAAAAGACTCTGGTATTGCTCAATTGGAAAAGCAGATGACATGTTTGATGTTCAAATGGTCCTGAGAGTATACGCATGTGAATTTGCAGAACAATTACAAGTTAGAAATGAGATTCAAAGAAGGAAAGTGTGTTTTAAAGCAATTGTTTCATCAGCATCTATTCTGCCACAAAACTGTCTGGGTTACCCTCTTCTCAGTGTTCTTGTATCATATATACCAGTGAATTATGTTTGATGTTTTTTCTATGGTTACAGTGTATAGAAAATTTATTTTCCCACAGTGTAAACTAACATTTTCTCTTCCTATGTTAGCAAGATACAAGCATAACATGCTGTATTAAATAATGCATTTCCTATACATATATAAATATATATTACTATGATATCACACGTTTTTAAATAACATAGTCTCTATTTCCCCCCAACATAACAGTATTAAGACAAAAGTACACACAGAAATCAGCTAGTCAACAAAGTAGTTTCAAATGTAGATTTTAAATGGGGGACACCACTTGTCCAGCTGTCCCCTTCCACCTGAGGGCCACAGACACTGCAGACTATTGTAACTGAGATGCTGCATGAAGCAAGAAGGCAGGCCCACAAACTGCTGCGATGGCAGTGCTATCAAGAGTACTTACTGCTCTGCTTCTGGGGTAGACAACTGTCTTTTTCCTATGGCTTACTGTCCACTTAGCTGTGCTAGTTCACCTCGGTGCAACCACTCAGTAAAGCAGCTCAAGAGAACTCATCTCTGTTAAAAGGAACTTGGGGAAGAAAAAGCAATAGTAATTTTTAACCTGATCGGTTTACTGCACCACCACGCAGCCAGCTGAGTGAAGAAGGAATGCCTGTGTATGAAGAGGCAGCTCCTCATGATGGTTTTGTTGTCAAACCAGTTGCTTTTGAAATTGTGGCCAATGTCATGTTTGCAGCCTGTCTGGCCTGTGGAGGGAATTGCTAGGCAGGAGGTCAGAAGGCCATTCTGATACAATTCCACATCATTTCAGTTTGTGGAAGGTAACACGATGAACACAAACCACCCAAGGTGTCCATGCCCTCCAGCTGTCAGCACTCAGCTGCTAGTTCCACAGGACCATTCCTGAGTGCTGAATCCTGTGGGATTATAACAGCTGTGCATATCAGACTTTTCTTCTTTCCCTCCCCAAAGCCTTCTAGCAAACATCAAAAAGTGCTGTTAATGGCTGCCACAAACATTGG